ATATACAGAAGAGAGATATACACATATGTTGTCTCCTATATACTGCCTCCAGAGCATAGTAACAAATAAGATATTCCTAGAGGCTCAGAAAAAGATTCAAACTGGTGTCTGGTGCAACTTCTTTATATCGCCTGCTATATCCACCTGTCTCATGTCCTGATCTCTGTTGGAGCTGGTCCCAGAAGAACTTCATTAATAGCAGCAACAACAACAACAACAAAACAGTGGAAACCACTTAGAAGCGCATCAGCCAGGAGTGAGTAAAATATGTGTTCATATGACACTCTCAGTCAAAGGACAACTCCACATGAATCTCAAAGACATTATATAAGGAATGGAAAGAGTCACCAATCATCCCTTTTCCATGATAGAATAGCCAGGGCCTTCATCTTTAAAATCATATGCCATTTCCAAAGTATTCCATCAGAAAGCAGTCAATATTTGCTATGATCAGCAATCAGAAAAAGAGTAACATAAAATTACACAGGGAACTCTTTCCAGTGACAGAAACTCTCTCATACTTGATGTCAAGGTAGTTGAATAGCTCAGATTCTGTGAGAATTAACTAAGCAATGCACACACCATTCAACAATAAAGCTTTTCAATAACAAGACCACTATTCAAAGTCTAAAAACCTCTTTGGCAGGGTCCAGAGCACTTGCAGAAATGCTGGGGAAACCTTGAAGGGGAAACATCAGTAGCCCTCTTGAGAGTCGGCCCCCTTCTGAAGGCTGATCTATAGGTGAATTCAGAAGCTGACCAGAAGTTTAGAGCTGACCTGAGATTGAACTCACGTGAAAATGGGGCTGGAACAATAAATCTAAATGTAAATATCCTGGACTCAGCAAACAGGATATAGGGAGTAAAAAAAATTATGTCTCTGTAGATACCCTGAATCCTATCAACCATTAGTAATTTCACACTTATAGTTCAGCCAGTAACTTCAAAGAACTACCTCACCCCTCACCCCCTCATCCAGTCCTGAGATATATAACCTACTGCTTGTAAACTTTTCCTATATAAACCCCTTGTAATGAGTGCTCAGGGCTTCCTTCCTCCCTCATGGTAACAAGGTGTCAGCTGAGGTCCCTGCCCAAGCTTGGTTTGAATAAAGAAAACTTTTGTTCTTGCATCGGTATCTGGCTCCTTGGTGGTCTTGTTGAGGGGGAGCTCCCAACTCGGGCATAAAAAACCCAAAAAAGGTATGTGCAGCAGGAACTTAATAATGCCTTCAGGCTCTCCTGGAAATCCTAGTTATCAGCCCTCCTGCACTCAAAAGAAGGGCTTTTCTCTCTGCCCAGCTCCTGAGCCCAGCTGAAGCTCATCCTCAACTCTCTCTGTTTCTTGGTGTTGAAGACTGGCATTGCAAGAATCATCATTTTGGTGATGTCCTATTTTTGGCCTTCAAGTTCATAGAAGAAACCTCTAAATACTTGTACCCTGGCATAACATAGGTTAGTTATATGGAGGAGGTAGGAGAGGATCAAGTTCTAAAGAAAGAGGGACAGAGCCTCCCTTTCAATTCTTCCCTCATACTTTACATCCTGACCTCAGTTTCCCCTCCCTCCACTCCTCCCAGGAGCACCTCCCCCCATATGCCCCAGATCTACTCCTCCTCCATTTCCCTTCAGAAAAGAGCAGACCTGCCAGGGATATCAAGCTAACAGGGCATAACAAATTCCAATAATACTAGGCACAAACCCTCAGATCAAGACTGGGTGAGGCAACCTAGTAGGAGGAAAGGGTCCTAAGAACAGGCCAGAGAGTCAGAGACCCTCCTCACTTCCACTGTTAGGAG